CAGCAGGAAATAAAATGAGGGAAAAAACAATTAAAAGAAGAAAGCAAAGCTGATGCAATTTAAAACAGAAATTTGGACTTAAGGACATGCACCAACAAGTCAGGGAAAGGCATGTCTGCTTCTAAGAGCAGAGAACTGCAGGTTGAGTCGCAGTTCAGCTGAATGCTTAAGGATTTGTTTATCTTCAAGCATGTCAAGGTCTGCAGAATACATGCCCTGCCTTAACGAGGAAAAAGTTTAAATTTTGCACTCAGAGTTGCAGTTTTATTGCTAAGTTAGTGGATAAATACCTCATTGCTGTCTTTGAAAGTTAAACATAAAATTGTGCATCAAAGATGCCAAGACATCTAGGATTTAATTACAGGGGTGAATGTAAGAGGATGGTGTGGAATCTGGGAGGTTAGTAGTTGAAAAGCAGTAATGACTGGCAACTACCATATACCATGATTATTTTCTGGGTAAGAGAACACACCCATGTAGCTTATTAAGTAGGTTCAGTTTATTCATACAATCATAACAATAACTGAGGTTGGAGACGCTGCTTAAGAGTATTGTTACAGATACCCCGATGCGCCTGCCTTTTTATACTTATTTTTACTCTCCTCATTGCTTAAGCTATAAGGAAAGGAATGATGGAGAGACAGTGCTGGAGATCATAGTTCAGTTCAGTGTATCTTAAGGACTCTGGGTTTTGACTGTTGGCTTTTTCTGAATGATGTGATTCTTTCAAGCTTTCTGAAATGAGGAAGGGTTTGTGTTGTACTGAAACTTAATTTAACTCTAGTCCCTCTCACAAAGTGCAGGTTACAACCCCTGCCCCAGTGTTGGTCTAGGTGAGATGCCAAAGGGGGCAACTACAGTGCAAGTGGAGTCCTTCAGAGCTCAGTCCTGTTTCAAAGGATGAAATATGATGTTGTTATCCTACAGGGTAGGAAAACAGCTTGTTCCCACCATGCAAGATAAACACAAGGGTTTAATAAATCTTTCAGTCCTTGAAATGTAAAAAAAAAAAAACCCAAACCAAACCCGAAACCCCAAAAACTTAATCATCAGAACCAGGTATTTTGTACCTGTGTAAACTGTAGTGATTGGCAGGGAACCCTTTATTCTTCTCCCAGATGACAGTATATTCCTCCTCTTCCTGACATTTTTGTAGCACCCACAGCATTTCACTATAACCTTGTCTGATTTTTAGCATCTCTAGTAAGAGAACTAAGTCCTGGATTAGCTATTTTAATTTGCTTTTATTGCGGTTTAGAATAGATGGGTTTAAGCTGTGAATATCCTATCTGGTGTTTAATCACTGAGGGTGTGGTTCAGTCAGTGTTTTGAGCCAACATAATTCAGAAACATGATTTCCCCCTTACCATTCCTGCCGTCTTCCCTGTAGCAGTAGTAAAGTTTCTGGTCCTGTGGTTAAAAATTAATCCTTCCACACCCCTGAGTATATTAATTTTAAGTCTGATTGTTCCCTCATCTGCTTTGCTCCATGGTCACTTCAATTCTCATGCCTACACAAAGAGCAGTATGCGAAAAAGCAAGAGAGAGGAGGGAGGGTGCAGCCGTGTCTTCTAGTTAACAACACATAGTCAGGTCCAGCTTAAAATAATTACTGCTTTGAGTGTTTATGGTCATTTAGAAACAGGAGTTGAGTCTAGACCATCTCTAACCTGCTTCTGTAAAATGGGGGGAGACAATACCTTTTCAATGGGGAAACAAAACAAGTGACTTGGAGGCCGTTATGGAAGGGCTCAGTAAATCAGCATAGCCTGGTCTTGGATAAGCAATGACTAGTTAAATTTAGACGACATGGAACTTGATGAAACAGTAACTTCTACAAATTCAAATGGCTTGTATACTGGCAGAGTGTTATAAATGGTCTTGATGCAAACGAAAATCTGCTTCAGCAGTGTCAGATTTATAACAAGGTGGAGCTGAAGTTCAAAGTGTTATTCTTACATCATGTGCACTCTGTTTCTCCTGCTGCTGTACTGACTGATGGGTCAACGGTGACTTTCATCCTTTCCCCTCTCATAGGTGGAATCGTCGCAGGAAGCCAATGCTGAAGTCATGAGAGAGATGACAAGAAAACTGTATAGTCAGTATGAGGAAAAAATGCGGGAAGAAGAGCAGAAACATAAAGCTGAGAAAGAAATCCTCCTAGTACGTACAGCCAGTCTGTAAGAGTGGTGCTTAGCTTGGGTGTCATTTCTCAGTCGCTTAATACTGCAGAGTTGACGTGTTCCTTCACTCCTGTCTCTGTGACTAGTGACGCCACGGGTACTAAGCTTTCTAAGCTTTTGGGGTTGTAGGGCTGAGAAAAGAATGTGTTCAAACACAGTAACAGTAATGAAAATGTAGATTTCAAAATTTGAAATGGAGTAAGTTGGTGTGTTATCAACATTATTTTCATACTAAATCTAAAACACAGCACTACACCAGCTACTAGGAAGAAAATTAACTGTATCCTAGCCAAAACCAGGACAGTTGGGTTCTTTAACTTCTGATTCTCTTAAAAAAGGAAAAGATAATGTCCAATTTTATTGACAGTTTAAGAAGGGGAGGGGGGGAACAACTTCACTGGACACTGCTGGAGCAAGAACTCTTCATGTCCCCTGGTTTCCCTCCACCCCCAAGTAAAACCTTTCTATGAGCAGTTTGTCATTGCATTTTCCTAACTGATAACCATAGGTAATGACTGAGATTGAAGGTAGATTCCCCAGCCTCTTTCTATTCATATTGTTTTATACATGAGGAAAGTACAAAGCTGAACGTGGCAAACTTTGGTGTTTAAAATGCTATCTTCTGCAACAGCATCTTTTTCTTATGCTGTTACTTCACAGCATCCTCAGAAGGGAAAACAAATATCTAAGAAACAGCTAAAAGTTTTTCTCAGATTTTTCATAATGATGCGTTACAAATACCTGTGCACTTCAAAGTGCCCCAAATCTTTTGTTCCATACAATTCACATTTAGGGTTGCAACTCTTCCAGACTTCTGGGCAGGTGTAGTGAAAAGCTTTGAGCTCTGCTTAAAAGCTATTAGCCTGGCTCAATGGCCAAAAAGAAAATTCCTCATTAATATATTGTATGTTAATGTGACTGTAAATGCTCTTATTTGAAGGAAGAAACGAATCGGCTTCTGAAGGCTATTGAAGAGGCAAATAAGAAGATGCAGATTACAGAAACAAGCATACAGGAAAAAGACCAGAGAATTGGTGAGCTGGACCGGCTGATTGAACGCATGGAGGAGGTATGAGAGTTAGTGCAGAAGTGCATGGAGGAAATTGGACGCTTTTTTTTGTGTGCGTGTGTCTGTTGCTCAGTACCCTGTTCAGTGACATACCATTGCTGTTTGCATCTTGTTTCCATATAAGTAAATGGACCTGGACTACCATAGAGACACTGTGATTAAGTGGTTCTTCTATCTTTCTAGTGGCCTTTACAGGGCCTTCAGGGCTGCCTAAGGTGTCAAAATTTATTCAGTAAATTAACCATGATTTTAAAGAAAGAATTTAAAAAGACCATTCAGTCTTCCTTCAGTGTGCAAGGTCTCCTAAGCCTAATGAAGTAGTAATCATAAATGATCCAAAGTCTCTTAGAAATGCTGTTGGTAGGTCCATTAAAATGTTTTAGTTACGAATAGACCTTATTATTTGCTGATTGGAATTGTATCTCCAAATTTCTCCACATGTGGATGAAATGCTAAACTGAAAGCTTCAGACTAAAATGCTTTGAGGGTTTTTTGTGGGTATGTAGCAGCCACTTAATCTTCCATGCAGGTATCTATCTTATTTAGATTGTGGATCAGAATATTTTGAGGAGAGAAGAAAAAAAACATTTTTACTGCCTTTTAATCCAAAACTTAGGTTCTTCCTTTCCTGCTAGCATTAAAAAATTTCAATTATTCCTCTCCCTGGCTAAATATTCCCTACCAAACTGTAATTGAGAGCAGATTTTTTGACAATTTACTTTTAAAGCTCTGAAAGCAGAAATGCTTTCAGACATTTACCTCTTGTGACACTGGCAGCACTACTGTAAAACTAATTGTAGCAGTTTTTGCATTGCTTCATTTTATTTCCTGCCTTTCCTTCTTCTCTTTTATGGACTCATCTGAGTTTTGCCCTGGAGCAGAGTAGTCAGATTATTATTATTTTAATGTATTGTTAAGCCTAAGAGTATCACAGTACCTCTCCTTGCATAGTACACTGCATCTGAATCTCATTTGTTGAACCTTTTCACATATCTGAAAAAGCTTTTTATCTTCTCAGACAGTTACAGTGAAATTTCTTCTTTGTTTTCTGGTGTCATTCACCTAACTGAGAATGAATGTTATTGTTTAGTCCTTAGACTGAATAGTGTCTCTCCAAACTGTATAAGAGCAGCCCTTCCAAAAGACTGCAATGCTCTTGGATGTATTTTGGCATTTCTTATTTCACTCAATAGCAGGCATCTCATTATCTTTAAAGATCTGTGCCTTGCTATCTAAAATACAGAAGCAGAGAGCATTCTAGTAAGTGGAGGGAATATGATCTTCTGTTCTTACAAGTGAAGTGGTTTTTCACCAAATTTAGTTTTGTATAGTCAATATTTGTTACTGAGAAATAGATTTTTATAAGCCAGTCTCGTTGGCTTGACTGGGTAGTCCAATGTGCATTTGTATTGAGCCTCTTTTGCCTAATGCTTGTAAATCTATTAGTAGAATTAGTGATTACAGTGAGAAATCATTCAGCTTTATATGCCCCTTTAGTAGCTCCATTAACTTTGTCTGTGCTTTAGCCTACAACTTCTAAGTATTATGCAGCGAATATAGGATTACAATATAGTTCTTAAGTACAGATGAGTTTCTTCATGTTGGTTATTTAATTTGCTCTTATCTGGCTGATACTGCAGAGTAAAACCGAATGCCTCTTAAATTCCCATTAAAGTGGATAGCAGATTCCTCTGTTAATCTGTGTTGACTCAGTCCCCAAGTCCTCATAGATCTTCATGAGTGCTGTGCTGGTGGATACCTAAAAACCAGGAATATTTGGCGAAGAAAATAGATCAATACCTTTATCAATACCTTTTATCTCAGCCTTGGATTGAGAGATCTTTTTGGAGGGATAACATGGAAAATTTGATATTTATGTAGTTAAAGATTGTGATGACTCATCTTTTTATTCAAGAAATTCAGTTTGAAGTACAACCATCTATGTTCGAATAGGAAACGGAAAACTCTGATCTTATTTCCATGCATAGCTGGGAATTTGATTTTTATTATTATGCATTCTGTGTTCCTTGGCTATAGGAAGTGCATGAATTTTGTTTAATCAGTTTCTATTTTAATTTCACAAATGATCTTTTGAATTGCAATGAAATATGGTTTGTGAAGCCTTTACATTTTGACATATGGAGAACTGAAGGATAACATCTCTTGTTTAGGAACGTCACCAGCTGCAAAAACAACTCGAATTAAATGAAATACAAATATCTGGAGCAAAATCTGAAAACAACTCTGACAGTGAAAGGTGAGATATGTCTTGTCTGTGGAACTTCTAGTATTGCTAGGAAACTTTAAGGGTGAGTTGGCTTGTTTTTGAAGACACCTGAATTTTACTTTTTCTAACTTGAAAGCTGCAGTCTGGTAGGGATTGTCCATCTGAATGTGACTTTATTTACATACAAAATATCAAGAGGATTAATTTTTGCAACAAAAAACACTTTCATGCATCTTTCTCAAAGTTGTTTGCAAACATGCAGAATACATTTTAGATGGAACAAGTTGTGACATATTTGTGGATTGCATTTTTCTTAAATCTGCGTTCCCAAATTCAGCACAGAATGATCCTAAGTATGAATACTTCCATTATCTCCTTCCAGATTGCTCAACACAGCTTTAAAAGAAAAGACATTCTGTGTCCTATATTAAGCTGTAGGACATCCCCTTTGAAAAGATGAACTCTTGAAGAGAGCAAGAGTTTTGCATATAACTGTCAGAGGTGTCTTTTTTTTTTTTTTTTTTTTTTTTTTTTATAAAAGAGGAAAAGCAGGGAATGTATTTGAGGCTTGGAGGGGCAGGTCCACACATGTGATGCACGTTAACGTATGCACATGAACAAAATGAAGGTGTGGAAGAAATCTGTCATGCAGCATCACAGTGCCGAAATAAGCTATGAAGTTATCTGTGGAAAGTGAGGGTGATGTTATTGGCAGTGAGACCTCTGTTCTTGAAAGCACGAGGCTTAGAAGAAAGATCTGGTGGTGTGGTGGCACCTGGATGTGCTGTTTCTGCCCACAGGTGGTATGTGCATCTGTTACTACTACTTTGAGACTGACAGAGCACCATGACCAGGCAAAAGAAAGCTTCAAGCAAAGCCAGAGGCAAAGTTTCAAGAGAAATCTATCCAGCACTGAGATAATGTAACTGCTGTTGGAGTAAAAATTGCATCCACCGCTTAAAGGTTTATATGACACTACTTGAGTGGGTAAAGAGGAATTACAAGCAGAGACTGAATAATTGTGCTTGATTGCTACTTATATTTCTGTGGCATCCAGAAATTCAGTTTTAAGATTTTGGCATCCCACTGTTCTGTAGGAAGTGTAAACATAAAAGGAGGTCCCTGCCGAGAGCATCTCACTGCCTAGTTGTATTGATCTGTGACCAGCTTATCTGGTTTCAGGGTAATAACGTCTTTTCACAGCAGCTTGTTAAAATAATAATTTAAAGTGAACAGATGTTGCATACAAAAAGTAATTATCCTTCATTTCCATATTCTTTTCTTCCTTTACCTCTGGATAACACATACTCTTCTCGCTTCAGTGTATCCTGCCCTGTCCATTCAGCATGAAAATTTATGCTGCAGTAAAAAGGGTAAAGGCAATGTTCAGACAGGAATTTGTGCAATGCAAGCAAGCACACAGTTGCAAGCTATGTGATGCAAGCAATGAATCTGTGTTCAGATGCTAAAGTCTGTTCTTAAGTTCTTTTCACCTCTCTGTAGCCGAGCAGACACTTGAGCTCCACTAGAGGAAGGACCTCTGTTCCCTTACTGCCTTGCTATCAGTGCTTAAAATTCTGAATCTTTCAATGAGAGACCAAATATGTGTTACAATTGCAATCAAAATGTAAATTGCAGTTTTGTGAGACCTTAATATTCAGGATTGAAAATTTTTTTGAGTCCTTGTCAAAGTGCTGCAGTTACAGTTCTGTAGAGTACTTCACTGTTAATAGAGACTCTTTCTGGGAGGAAACAGCATACAATTCAGTCATTCATTGGAATCATGTCATACAGTTTGCCATCTGCTGCTTTGCCTTAGAATGGTTGTTCTATTTGCAGCTTCAACAGTTTCTTCTGCTGTGCAGAGACCAAGATGAAAAAAGCCTTTTTGTCTTTGATTCCCCTCCTCCACTTCTCAAATTCTGTCCGGTCCCGAACCTAGGAGTACAGAAGTTTATTTTGTAAGCAAGCGATTGCTTTCTTTGAGGAATTTCAAGAATTGTACATTAAGATAAAAATGGAGACTCCCATGGCCAACATGCCAAAAACTTATTAAAAAGATTCCCTCCTGTCTCTTTGCAGATTCTAAAACTACTTTTCTAGCAAGCTTTCAAACCAACTTGTGGCAGGAGTTCTGTGGGTGTTCAACTTCTGTGTTAAACAGATTTGAGGAAATGTAGACGCTATCTAAAGAGTTATACATACAAACTTAAAACAGGCGC